TTTTTTGGAAGTAGGGTCCATGTCCAGTGTGGATCTTTAACTCACAACCCTGGGATCAAGAGTTGGATGCTCCACTAACTGAGCCAGCCAGACACTCTGCTGGTGTACAAGTGTAAACATGTATACATTTTAAGGTATTGTCAGTGGTCAGAGTGAGTGGTGAGCAAGCTGAGGTGTACATGGGTTGAGGACCCAATTCAGTGTTGCAGGTTCCAGATTCAGGAGGTATAGCTCCAGAGAACTCTCCTTTATCCAAACAACCACATGCTGTCCTGCCTTCCTCAGGGAGATTCCAGCGTATTTTTTTGTACACTAGGAGCTCAGAACATGGGCTGTCTGTAATGCTGCTCAGAGCACTGATGACACTAATCTACCTGTGTGTAGAGCCTGCCAGTGCGGGCCACCTGAGGACTTCACATTCACAGTTGCATCTGACCATCACAACACTACCCCACTGTATTGATGAGAAAACTGCCATTTGGAGTGGCAGTGAATTTTGGCAGGGTCACACAGAATAATCCTGGATTTGAATCCAGTTTTTTCTAACTTTTATTTTTAGCAGGATGTGTATTTATCTCATTTTATAGTCATTTGTTTTTTCCAAATAATTATATACACATGGTTCAAAAATCAAAATTAAATGCAGAGACAATGTTATTTTCCTGTCCCCCCACCCACCTGGTTTTGCACCTGCTACTTTTCATTTTTCTAGTCTCTTATATATCCTTCAGTATTCTCTGAAATGAATATATTAGTGGTAGCATGTTGTAGCTTATTTTTGTCACTACACAGTTTGTACCAAGGAGTTTATCAATAAACAAAGCCTCTCTCTTTATTTTAATGCAACTCAGTATTCCATGTATGGTTGTATCATGATATTTTTGTTGGAATCTGTGTGGTCAGAAGTGTACTATTCCAGTAGTGCTGCAATGACCAACCTCGTACATTTGTTCTTGTTCGTGCAAATGCATGCACCAGTGGTGATGTACCTGATGTGGGTGGACACTAGCCGATTATCACAAAATTGTTCACACACAGCTTGATCCTTCTCATCCCCACCAACAGTTGGATACTTGTCTGCCAGCCTTGTGCTTAGGCTTTTAGGTTTCTGCCTGTTATGGTAAAAATGGTAACCTGATATGGTTTGAGCATTTGTTTAAGGTTTACTTGTATTACTTTTTTTTTTTTTTTTTTTTTTTTTTTTTTTTTTTTTTTTTTTACTTGTATTACTTTTTAATGGGCTCTGTTAAGATGAAGTGCTGTGGAAAAATATGCTTGATCTTACCTGTTAACTGAGGTAATATGGGATGTTTTGAGTTATTTTGATGTTTTGGATCATCTCCTTTCTTTACTTGCTTTGTTTTTATCCCACAGTATCTCAGTGTTACTTTTAGCATAAATTATTGTTTTTTTGACTAAGAAAGAAATTTTCTTGCCACTCTAAACAAAATGTTTACTTTGTTATCTTACAGGGATCATTGCAAGAGGTCATAGGATGGGGGTTAATAGGATGGAAATACTATGCCAATGTGATTGGTCCAATTCAGTGTGAAGGACTTGCCAATCTGGGAGTCACGCAAATTGCCTGTGCTGAGAAGCGCTTCCTGATCTTGTCAAGGAATGGCCGTGTGTACACGCAGGCCTACAACAGTGACACACTGGTGGGTGTTCTGGGCCCAGATTGCTTTCCTTGGTGGGTGGTTTTCTACTACAGGAGCTACAGAGGTGTCTAGTCTTTAAGTCATTTGATTTCTGAAGATTTGGAAACCTCTGTTCAGTGTATTTTATTAGTTTTATTTAATAATCTCAATCATAATTGTTGCCAAAATCTTGGGGCAGAATTTCTTAATTGTTAAGATCAGGAGCTCCTTATAGTAACACTTATTGCCCATTATGAATCCCATTTTTAAACTAACTTTCCATGTGTAAACTCAATTGACTTTGGGGGTGAGGCAGTATCAGATAATCTGAGGAAATTGGGCCTTGTCAGATAGTACATGTTCCTATTAAAGAAAGGTGCTTACATTGTTGAGTTTTCATTGTGTGGAGGTGGCCTAGTAATGTCACAGAGCTCTTGGAGGCTGCCCACTCTTCTGTTGGTAGTGGGCAGGGCATCTAGACAGTTGGGTGGCAGTCTCCATAGGCTCATGTTCTTTCAGTTCCAGGAGCGTTTGTTAAAATAAGATGCATGTTGGGGCGCCTGGGTGGCGCAGTCGGTTAAGCGTCCGACTTCAGCCAGGTCATGATCTTGCGGTCCGTGAGTTTGAGCCCCGCGTGGGGCTCTGGGCTGATGGCTCAGAGCCTGGAGCCTGCTTCCGATTCTGTGTCTCCCTCTCTCTCTGACCCTCCCCTGTTCATGCTCTGTCTCTCTCTGTCCCAAAAATAAATAAACGTTGAAAAAAAAAAATTAAAAAAAAAAATAAATAAATAAAATAAGATGCATGAGAAGAGTCATGCTGTTTTCATTGTCCTTGGACTGCTTACTAATTTTCTTCCTATTTTTACCCTTTTAGGCCCCACAGCTGGTCCAGGGTCTTGCCTCCAGAAACATTGTAAAGATTGCTGCCCATTCTGATGGTCACCACTACCTGGCTCTGGCAGCCACCGGAGAGGTGTACTCCTGGGGCTGTGGGGATGGAGGACGGTTGGGCCATGGGGACACTGTGTATGTATGGCCCATTCTTGTAATTGACTTGCTCTTCTTTTGAGTTACTGTATCCAAAATAGGGTGGAAAAGGAGTGTGAATGGGTGTTCCAGTTGCTCTGACATTTAGGGCTAGGGTGGAGAAAGCAATCAAGATGTGTCAGCCCCTGGGTGATGCTATGGGAGTTCTGCCCACAGCACAGAAGATGACATCAGTTGGCCTTCGTGTTCTTCTCTCTCAGATGGAATGCTTCCAGCTTTTGTCACTCCTGTTTTAACTATACATGGCACACCTCACACTGTGGAATTTTCTAAAGCAAATCCCACGCTACTTGTTTCTTCATTCACAAACACTTCAACATGTCTCTATCAGATAAGATCCTCCTTTCCTTGAGCCATTTCATTTTCATAGGTACAAAAATATTTCTTAATGTCCTATTTTGTAGAAGCTTTTGATTATTGTGAGAGACCAGGAATAAAACAAAATGATTGTTCTAAATGCATTGTTGTGAAAATGGAGAGTACCCATAGCTGCCACAGAGTGGTGGGAACACTTTTATATATTGCTGGTTTGAGTGGAGCCTAGTGGAGCAAAACTTGGGCATTTGATTAAAACTGAAGATGCACTTGAAGGGGGTCAGAGGCATGAACAGCACTGTTGAGAGGAGTCTGGCCTGTTCTCACTGCAATGGGATGGAGTTGGACATCCCTGGGTAGAATCCCAAGCCATGAAAAAAGCTGAGCAATGTGTATTGAGTGTTAGCATTCAGCAGAAATATTCCAAACTTGGCAGTATTGTCAGGATTCAGACAAGTGTGGTAAAACGATGGTGAGAAACAAAGGAATGATAACTACAGAATTTAGAATTGTTATTCTCGGACTGAAAGGGATGAGATGGGCAGGGCTCATAGGATTTGAAAGGATGGAGATACAGGGTGGAGGCATTAGTTTTTACTTCCAGTATGCTAGTTGTAATTTGTACTAAATTACAAAAAAAAAAACTACCTTGTAATAAAATAATACTCAGTTGAGGTTAAGTGCTAGATGCTAGGAGTTGCAGAGAAACTTTGGGAGATTGAAACTTGAGCTGAACAGGAGGGAGAAATGGTATCAGAATAGGGTTGTTCATCTCTCCCTGTGCCTGTATGTGCCCCTGCCTCTGTGTGTATTTATTTATTTTGCAGAATAGTGGGTCACAAAGTTAGTATACCATGTTTTTGGAGAGGCTAGAGTAGGTGTTAACAATCACAGTGAACATGTTATGGATTGAAAGCATAAGGTATTTTTCTAGTTTTGAAAGTGAAGAGCCAACTAGTAAGGCCTCTATCTGCTGAATTCTTACTGCCTCCTACTTTTCAGTTGTAAAATATAATTTGGAGTGTGATTAGTAAACCTTGCTCCTTCATTCCCTCCTCATTTATTTAACAAATGTGTAAATTTTAGCCATCTGTATGAGGTTTACAAATCCATCAATTTTAAGAGAACAGTTTAATGAATTTCAGCAAATGCACCATAACTGAGACACAAATTATTTCCATTGCCCCTGCTATTTTCTTTGGATCCTTTGCAGTCAACTCCTGCTCTCTACCTCCAGTTCCTGTCAACCACTGGTCTGCCCTCTGTCACTATATGGTATTTTGTTTCTGGCCCCTTCACTTAGCAGAGTTCCTAAGCTTCAGCCAAGTTGTTGGGCGTGTCAGTACTTGCTTTGTCCCTGTTGCTGAGTGATCTGTTTATGGATGGGCCACTGTTTTGGACCATTGTGAACAAAGCTGCTCTGGACTTGATTGTATGAGTCTTTAACACTGTTTTGATATTACTGCTGGATGTCATGCTTGGCATTGGGCACCCAATTAACACACAATCATGGAAATGTTACGTGTTTGAATTCTGTGTTCCTTAATTATTTCATAAGACAGCTGAAAGGCCAAACTGTCTTGGCACTCTGATAGTTTATTCTGATAGTTATTTTCTTTGCTAACACTAATAGGACATGCTTAGAAGGACATTCATATTTGTTCCCATTCTCTCCACAGGCCTTTGGAAGAGCCTAAGGTGATCTCTGCTTTCTCTGGAAAGCAGGCTGGGAAGCATGTGGTGCACATCGCATGTGGAAGCACATATAGTGCAGCCATCACTGCCGAGGGGGAGCTGTACACCTGGGGCCGAGGGAACTACGGCCGACTAGGCCATGGTACATTTGCTGTGAGCTGGCTCGAGCATGTGGTGGGAGGTTTTCTCTTTGGAGGGACTTACATTAATGATAGTCCTATCTGTTTGAAGGCTCCAGTGAAGACGAGGCCATCCCAGTGCTGGTAGCTGGGCTTAAAGGATTGAAGGTCATTGATGTGGCATGCGGGAGCGGGGACGCTCAAACCCTGGCCGTGACAGAGAATGGTATGCAGTACTCATGCTGCCCTGGGCAGGTTCTCAGGATGAGGAGTGCCGCTTTCCTAGAGGGAGTAAGCTTTGGAGTAGAGTGCACCTCATATGGTTGCCCCTTTGTCCATTTTTAAGTGGTATGCACCTCTGGGTCCTTGGCAGAGGTCCAGAAGTTATAAGACTTTTAATTTCTGTTGCCCAGAACTGCTAATTAGCAGCTACATCCTAACTATTTGGGCATTTTATTTTTTTTTTTATTAAAAAAAATTTTTTTTAAATATGAAATTTATTGTCAAATTGGTTTCCAAACAACACCCAGTGCTCATCCCAACAGGTGCCCTCCTCAAT